CCTTGGGTATAGGCGCGTGAAGTTGTTAGCAATTTAATCACGTGGTAAACACTTCTGGTTTTACATGCCTTATCGCGGTGGCTAACAAATGTTGACATAAATCATACAGCGCTCAAGTAATAAATAACAAAATATTCAAAAAATCTGAATTCCTATTCAACTTATCCCTCTGTGGGCTACATAAATAAAATGTGTCTTTCACCGCGCAAATTATGACATTGTCAGCTGTTGTTGGCACTTCGCTGCGTTTCACGTAAAAGTAAATATTGATTTTGTTATTGTTTCATTGTGTTTGCTTTACCTTTAAGTAAATAGCAGGCAATCAGCCAATTTGGTTGGGCACATGTTTATTTGCAGAAATTAGCTTTGCAAATAATTTATTTAGTTTCAATTTAATTATTGGCAGTATATGCGCTCAATATAGTTTTCCTATATTTTTTGCAAGATTTTGTTTGCTTTTCAATTTTTATATTTAGCGCTAGGTAGATTCTCTGCACAATTTTTTGTTTACGCTACTGATTTTGGCAGAGATAAGTTTACAATAAATTAGATATTTTGATCGCACTTCAGATAGCCAAATAATAAATCTTCTGATCGAATAGGAGTTTATTTGGCTATTATTAATAGAAGTAAAATAAAACTGAAACTAGAAAAATAATAATAATAAATAAATAAATTTGAAAAAAAATAATTATTATGGAACAAATTTTTTTCAATATGGTTGTTCAAAATATGCTAATATTTTTAGAAAAAATATTAATATATACCATTTAATTTCGCTAATAATATTTTGAGGTTAGCTATACAAAATATAAGGAAAAATTTTATCGAAAGTGCAAATCTTACTGACTAGCTGATAAAGGGTTGGCATAGAAAACTCAGTTCACACTAATTCATTGTCAAGCTCTTTCAGACATAATTAAAAATTTTTTGCTAACATTTTTTAACTAATTTGAGATATGGTTGCAAACTAACAGCTGTAGCGATATAAATTTCAATAAAAAGCAGTTATTTTGAGTGAAGCATTTTAAACCCTTTAGACTGTTATTGCTTTTAATGAACTTTTTCAGATTTGCCTTAATATTAAAATATTTATATAATTTAATTTTATTTACTTTTAAAATTATATAATCGAATATATTTTATGATTATTGGAAATAAAAAAATAACTAACGATAAAATTCCGCAATTAATTTTTGTTAAAAATACATTTTGTTGAAAATAAAATGTTATTTATGATTTGTATGTCAATATAAAGTGGGATATGTATATAAAAAAGTAGTCCAAAGTAAAATAACCAATACTTAAACAAAATTCCGAAATTAATTTAATTTTATATTAATAATTGCCAACATTAATCTTTTTTTCTTTAATATCAATTTTAGTGTTTGTTTTACAAAAACAATTTCAATAAACACCAAATCTCACCAAACTTTACTAAAAATTTTTTCAACTTGAACCATTAAAATTTAATGAGAAAGTCGCCTGGGTTGCCACAAATATCGTGAGTAAAATATTAAAAAAAAATTGTTGTAGAGTTGCCAAACTGCTCTTATTTAGTTTGAAATCTATTTTTGGTTGTTAATCAATAGAAAAGAATTTCATCTTATCATATATCCGGTGCTTATATAGCAAAACTTCTGTGTAAGGCCAGTTTTGACACCCACACCATAGTTATATATTATGTAAATAAGTATGATATATACAACCACCTGTATGCATAATACTTTGCAAACAACCAGTGTCTCTGAAATATTTCTTTATTTTATTTAACTTGCTTTTTATGCAAAATTACTGCTACTTTTTTACTTTTCAATTTCTCCTGTTACCTTACAGGCCACTCTCCACCCACATGATCACAGCAAATGCACAGGCATGTGAAAAAATTTATTTCCTCATTTACAAGCGTTGACGGGGTGCTTGTTAGTGATTTAAATACGAAAATAATGGCCGACACCGACTGGGCGTATACGTAACCTCAGACAGGGGTTGTTTACACATTTTACATATGGATTAGGTATGTATATGTATATACATTATATATAAATGCATACTTATACAAATACTTATGTACACGTGCGTCTACCAGGCGCACTAACTATGTATGTAAATGGGTAAAGCAACGCGCTCAAGCGTGCCTTACTTCGCTCATGCATGTGCGTTTTTATATACATGCATATGTATGTATGTACACACATGTTATAAATGATTTATGGCATGCGGAACGGCGCTGATATCGCGACAATTTGAAGGAAGTAAAATTTATTTTTATTTCCTTAGGCCTTTATGAAAAGCCATGTAATGAGTTGCCAAGTAAATGAGTAATATAGTAGATTTTGTGTGAGCAAGGAAGTGTGTGTAAATGCGGGCGAATATAAAGCGTGCGTCTGCTTTGATTTATTTAAATTACTTGCTGAATTTTTTTTTGTTATCGTGAATGAGTTTTCTTGTGGTTTTGGCCACGCGCTTTTACAGGTAAATAAGTAAACGTCTTAAGAAGGCTGAGAAGATTGGCTTATATATGCAACACGGGTGATTGGGAAATATTTATTATAAAAGAAATTCACTATTTAAAAAAAAAAGTATTTTTATGGAAAAAGTTTTTAATATTAAAAAAATTGATTATATAATAATAATTGAAAATAATATAATGAATATATAATATATATATAAAAAAAATATAATAAAAAAAAAAAAAAATATTACATATGTAGCAAAGCATAGCAGAACACAACAATTTTATTTAAAAAAATTTAAATCTTTAAAAAAATAAATAAAATGAAATATAAAAACACTTAACATAGCATATAATATAACATTAAATTAAATAATAGTAAGAAATAAAATATTGTATAACAAAATAAAAATATTTGCTACTTATACATAAATAGCATAACATAAATAAAAATAACGTAACATAACAAAACATAACACAAAATAAAATGAAAATAAGAAATAAAATAAAGTAACATAACATAACATAAAGTAACACAAAATAAATTTATTTAAAAATCATATTCGTAGTCTTGCTTATTTAAGCGCCACAGCGCCTTATAAAACTTGAACGCATTTATGAACTTTATACTAACTTTATTATAATTTTGTGGCGTAACAGCTTAGACAATTTGCAGTTTATTGACACTAGCGCCCAACCATTCACAAAGGCGAATAATCGAGAAATTAATGCCGGCAAAGAGTGTGATTTATATACAATGTGCTTATACATATGTATGTATATACCACACATACATACATACCTATGTACAAAGCCAGATACATACTATTAGAGATATAATTCTAGAACCGAACCATCTATGTTCATTAGTATGTGCGCAATACGATCAGCAGCGCCTTAACTTCCACCCAAAATCCAGCGCTTGCCTAGCCATTTGTCACAGCCGCTGCCGCTGCTGAGCTTGACACTTGCCAAGGACGCATTGTTCAAACAACCTGTCATGCTAAATTTATGGCCGAAAAGTCAACATGCTTTTTTGTGTAGAGGGATATATTTCTTCGTTAAAGTTATATGAGTATGTACGTGTGTGTTTCTAAACTTCATAGCTTTTTATATGTTTGTTTGCTTTGTTAGTTATTGCTGTTGACTCGAGATACTAGTGCTTGTGGAGTTTGTTTTGCACGTTAAAACGCTGCGTACGTGCACTGAAATTTTTAGCATAAACTAAAAACTTAAACAAACAAAAATAAATAAAATAAAAAATATAAATAAAAATAAAAAATTATAGAAATAGAAATAAAAAGTAAAAAAAAAGTATTAAAAAAATTAAAAAAAAATTTTAAATAAAATCGGCAAACATGAAACTAACATATTCGGCACGGCTAAAAAATGAATGAAACAATTCAGAATATATCTTGCTTAAAGAAATCGCATACATTGTATGTATTGGTATGAATATGTGTTAACAACAACAAGCTGAGCAACGTGCTTGCTATTGAGGAAGCACTTGCGCTTATGGTAATAATTTGCATACGTATTTACGTCAATTGTGTGCGACATATGCAACCATTTATATGTTATATATTGTTCTAAAGGTGCAAAGGCTGTATAATTCTAGCACAGGGCACCGCATTTGCTTTCATTTCTTCATTAAATGTAAAACAGCACTGACTAAAGCTAGAAAGTATTGCTGTTACTGCAAAAAAAAGTACGATTTTCCTTCTCTTTTTAATTTAAATTTAGATATGTTACTTTTATGGACTGTGTTCAAACTAGTATTTTGTGACCAGTTGAAGCAATGCTTTGGAAATAAATGTTATATGCAAAAATATCACATTTTATATTTTTTTGCTAGGCGGAAATTAGTACAAGCAAAACTAGTTGCAACCAGCGATTATTAGCAACACACTGGCTCAAATGTAACTAGTTACGCGGCTAGTTCGACTATATCTGCTAACAGCTTGGCGACTCTTCTGTATAGATCAACAGCTTAGATACATACAAGTAAATATCACAGAGTATTGGAATTTCTGTATTATATACTTATATATGGCAAATATGTATGTTTGTATACCTATGTATATGTACATAAGTATGTATGCTTCTATGCTTGCAATTTATCATTTATGGTCACTGCAAACAAGCCGACACTTCGTGCACATTTGTATTTTTTTCCCAAATACAGACATTCAAAACTGACCTTAGCTTTAATTGAGTTTTGTGTTGAGCTGTGGTTAGCACACAAGCAACAAGACTTAGCAAATATAAATATATTTTATTCGCATTTATTTTGTTGCACGCGCTTGCAAATAATGACACAAAAATATTTATAGCGCATATCTCCTTGCGATAAGGCATGTAAAACCAGAAGTGTTTACCACGTGATTAAATTGCTAACAACTTCACGCGCCTATACCCAAGGACGCGCACGCCAACAAGCTATGCATCTTAATTATTGATTTCCAATATAAAATGTATTATTAATTAGCTTATTGCTTCCAACGAACTTCCACTAATTAACACTTCCATTCTTCTGCTTTTACAGACAATTTGTTGGCCGCACGCCACAATCCAGCGCATCGTAACAGCACTTCGAGCGACGCGGCCGCCAGCGACGACCTCAACTCCAGCTCCAGCAATGAAGATTTGAGCGCCGTCTACGCAGTGATGTCGCAGCCAGACAAGAAAACCGGCAACAAGGCACGCAGAAACCGACAGCAGCGCCGCCGCAAGCGTCACGACGAGCAGAGCGCCGACCAACTTCAAGCCATTCCCATGGATGTCGACGAGGACAGCAAAGAAAATCGACGTCCCGCACAGCAGCATGTACAGCAGCAACAACAGCAACAGCAGCAGCAACAACAACAAACATCAAAGGCAGCCAGCGTTAACTTGCGTAAACAATGCACAAAGGCAGCCGCTTTGAAAGCGGTCAATAAACACAACAACGGCAACAACAACAGCAATAATAACGTAAAACCGATTAGCGGCGCACATGCGCTCACCAATTCAGCATCGAATTCATCGGTATGCAGCGCCCTCTCCTCGGCATCGTCTACATATTCGCTCTCATCCTCGGCATCGAGCACATCGTCCGCCGCGAGCTCACCCACCAATTCGGCGAATTGCTCACCCACTGCCTCGCCTACCGCCAGCAAGCGTAATACAGAGAATTTCCGTAAGATAGCACGCGCACTCGCACCACCTCTGCGCCAGCACACCAAACTGAATATGTCCGAGCTCGAATTGGTGCAACAGTTGCGCCGTTACATCATTGATCCGAATTTGTTACGCGTCTACGGCTATCCGGTCGAGAGCGCCATACATGAGGGCTGTATCGAGATCTACAAGTGTTTGCCACGCCCCTCCGGTGTACATACGCATCACTCGGCAACCAAAACGGATGTCGTCAACACCGTCGATGGCTTGCAGGTGCACTATACGTCGACCAGCAGCAGCACGACAACCACCACGAGTTTAAAGGCACAATGGACGCTCTGCGGTGATAATGCTACCGATTCAGGTCAGGGTTCGGGCGACTCCAGTCCGCCTTCAATGGATTCGGACTCGAGCGAGGCAGGTGAGGATGAACCCGCTACCACCACTGCTTGCTTCACACCCGACGGCAGCTATCAGATATTCTCACAGTACGATCAATCGTTGGAGAAGCAGTGTGTACGTTGTATGCGCACTTTCCACGTTACCGAGACCGGTGAGTACCTCAGTTATGAGAGCTGTACTTTCCACTGGGGTAAACTGTATAATCTGTATACCGGCAGCAAGGGTTACACGACACAATACACATGTTGTGCCGGCACCAAGGATACAGAAGGTTGCTCGCGCAATCCCTTGCATGTGTGGACCGGCGCTGTGGTCGGCATTAACGGCCCCTATACCGATTTCCTGCATACACGTGCACGTTGCGATGATAAACCGACCAAAGTGTATGCGCTCGACTGTGAAATGTCCTTCACCGGGCGTGGGCTCGAAGTCACTAAAGTGACGGTGGTCGGTTACGATGGTCAGCTCGTCTATGAGCATTTCGTGCGACCCGAAGTCGAAATTGTCGACTATAATACACGTTTCTCGGGTATCACCGAGAAAGATCTCTGTGCACACGCGAATAAAAGCGTCAAAACGCTAGCCGAAGTGCAGCGCGATTTACTGCAGCTGATCGATGCCGAAACCATACTGATCGGTCATGGTTTGGACAATGATTTGCGTGTGCTGCGAATAGTGCATAAAACGATCATCGACACATCGATCGCATTCCCGCATTCGAGTGGCTTCCCCTATCGGCGCGCACTTAAGAACCTGACGAAGGCATGTCTCAATCGTGACATACAGTGTAGCGATGCGGGACACAGCAGTTTTGAGGATTCGCGCGCCTGCCTGGAATTGATGTTGTGGAAAGTGCGTAAAGAAATGCGACCGACGGCGTATTGAGCGGCAAGCAAGCGATTGTTGAATATATGTGTGTGAGAGGGAGGGTAAAAGTGAAACAGTGGGGCGTTTCACAGTGTGTGCATGTGTTTGTGTGTGAGTGAGTTTTTTTATACATACATATACATATTGTATATTGTGTTCGTATGCGTATATTGTAACTTTTGCTGGTTAAACTTGTAAATGAAAATGTTGTTGTTATTTTTTATTTACAAGCTCTCGTTTCATTTCTTATTAATTAATCAGGCATACAAATACACTTACATACATACAATTATACATATGTTATAGTATATGTTGTCAAGTTTAAAGTTGTGTAAACTTGTTGCTTGCGGGTCCAGACGCCGTGACTCGCGCGAATTAATTCAAAACCGTACCAGAAGAAAGTGGAAAATCTCTTTATTATTCAAAAGCTGCTGATGTTCACGTTACAAAAATGGAGCGGAATTTTTAAAAAAATGTACTGATTTATTGCTGTGATTTTTTGCACTAGCGCGCGCTGTTCTCATTTAAATTTTTAGTTCACCACCTTCGTAAATTCAAATGAATCATGTAGAGTGAAATCGAAAAATGTTTAAAAAAAATTATGTTAAAGACATGAAATACAGACAAAAGTGAAATAGATTAAATTTTTTAAAATGATATTATTTCAGATATGTTTTTTTTTTAATAATTTATTTTTTTTCAAATAATTTTCAAATTTTTGTATATTTGAATTTTTGTATTTTTGAATTTTTTAAAATTATTTATTTATTCTAATTTTTTTAAATATTTTTATACAAAATTTTTAAAAAATTATTATTGTTATCAACATTTGGAAAAACTCTAAATAATATTACATTTGCTCAGAATTTCAAAAAAATTTTAATTAAATATTTGTTTTTTAACTTTTTTTGAAGAGAATTTTGTTTCTTGTCCCAAAACGATATGTTTTTTAGTTGGTTTCGGAAGAGGATTTATTTAAATTATTATTATTTTTTTAACTATCAATAATATTATTATTTTTCCTTTTGTATTAGATTTTTTTCAGAAGTTTTTTGTTGTATACTTTTTTTGGAAATATCAATTTAAACAATTTTTTTTTGATTAAAAATTGTGTAAGATTTTTTGTAAAATTTCACTCCAATTTTGCCAAAGTAGTTTTCGTGCGAAATAAATTTTCAAACAATGATTGTCAATACAAATGTACAATAGACAAAAATTTATCGATTTGCAACCACATTCATAAGGAAACATACGAATATTATTTATGTATTTGCATTTCATAAAATTTTTTTTTACAAAACGTACATACAAACACATACATAAATACATGTAAAAACTACGCTAAAAAATGTAGTTAAAATTTTACATTGTTAATAATCATTTTTAACATTGTTAAAATATATACGATTTACCAATTGACTTTTTATTTCATTAATTTAAAATTAATTTTCCATAATAACATGTTATTTTTTTATTTATTGACGATTACATCATTCATTTACGATTAGACAAAAAAATTTAAATAACACACAAAATAAATTTAAAACAAAATTTAAATTTTAAAATAATTTTTTATTTAAGTAAAACAAAAATATAATTAAAATTAATAAAACTAGTTTTGCTAAGAAAAAAATTAATGTCCAAAAAATGAAAATATACCTAAAAGCACAAAAAAATATTTTTTTAAATCGTTTGTAAGGTGGTAACACATATGTTAACCTCCCACCATTTCATGCAAGTTTAGTTTAGTGATTTTTTTAAAGTTATAATTGTAAGATTACTACGATAGAGAGAATATATAAAAATATATCATTTTGTAAAAGAGAAGCAAGAAATATAAGCTGTAATTTTTTTGGTTGCATTATTGTGAAAATTTTTTTTTTAATATTTAACTTTTTGTATGCAAAAGCAACACTGGAAGCCAAATGCAGTTGGTAAAAGAAAGCAGTGAAAAAACAACAATATTTTGTGCAGCAATGTTGCGTTGTTTATAACATTAAATCAAACATAAATATGTAAGAAAAATGAAGAAAGAAAATTGAAGTGAAAAATATATATAGTATATGTACATATAAATACATATGTTTATGCGGGAAAAAAACAAACCCAATTGTAAAAAGATGTTCCTAGTTTTTAAAAAATTATATTGTACTACATATACATACACATACATATGTACATACATAAGCACACACATAAATATGTAGCACAAGCTGAGCATAAAGGTTGTTAAGTTTTCTTTCGAAGCAAGAAAAACGCAAAAACAAGCAGAAGCACATCTTAATTTAACAAACGTATATGAAAAGCAAAGCAATGTTGTTATTGTTGCTTTTATGTAAGTCTTTCTGTATTTTTTACTCTATTATGATTAATAACAAACAAAATATTCACACCTTTGTATGGCGCACATTTTCAAAGTGTCTACTTTTCTATTAAGAAAAAAAGTAAACAACAACAACTGCAAAATGCAAAAAAAAAATTTACAAAATGTACAACAAATCAATTATCAGCAAAACTTAAGCTTGAAAAGCAAAATGGTAACAAAATGCAAAAACAAAAGCATAAAAAAAAAAACTTAAACCTAACGAACATAAAATGTCGATCAACACTTTTGTTGAGATATTTTATGGCTGCTAAAAAATAAAGCTCGATTTATTTTTTACGATAATTTCAAACAAAAACAAAACTATCTTTTTATTTTCACATACCGCGTGCATTCATATGCACTGGTATGAGTAGTATGGGGAGAGGGGGTCAGCGGTTGAGGAACGGATCTACGAAATTAACCGTTAGCAGAATGGATAGGCATGTGGCTAAGATATATATAGAATGCACCAAATATTTCAGAAACTTCGAAAATAAATGATGGACGAACTTAATTCCGGCCTGTTTCATTTCCAAGGAGGCTTGGTTTAATTATAGAACTTCTAGAAAAAATAACTAATACGAACTGATTTATAAAAGATCTCACCTTCTATGTGAGGGAAAGGGAAAAATGAGACTTAACAGCGTTCGCCTCTGACAACTCTCTCGTTCTCTCGGACTATCAGCGAAGATTAGTAAAACTTACGGCCTCAGTTTCAGGTCCACACGCTTAGAGGGATAACGTATATGAACAGCAAGAAGGCATATTCGATTATATTTCGATTTAAATTCAGAGCAAAATAGCTTTATAGCTACGTTTTTAGAAACAACCACGGTAAGGAGTTTAGTGACGTAGAAAAAATTGTAATGATTCAATGGATGGATACAAGTCCGAAAACGAGTAAAATAAGCTTTGTATGTTAGACCTTCTCTTAGCACTTAGTTTAGCTACTTTCAAGGTATTTTATAATTATTGTAGCATTCCTTGGACCTGAACAGCTCTTATGGATTGACTCAACACATTTTGGTTAAAGTTTTGTGTATGAAGCGGTCAATGCTAGACTCGTACCAAAATATCTGAGTCTTTTGCAAAAACGACGTCGAATAGAGCTCACAAAAGCTTGCTAATGAACTTAAGTTTCTCAGACTGGTTTTGATTTACAATGAGACATTTGGCGACGGTAATTTTAAATACAGCGAAACAAATCATTCCCGAAAAATACACGTTTTCTTCGTTATAACTTGAATAATATTATATTTAACGGGCGCTTACTAGTAATAAAAGCTTTCTACAAAGTGTGCATTGGGCTTTCACCGATTCTTAGCTAAATCATTTAAGGCTTTCTCAAGGCGAAACCTCTCAGAAAATAAAAAACCGATCTATTACTACTCGTTTGCTTATAAAATTTACTTTCGTCTTCCTTTATTGCGACTTGTTCGTATAGGAAAGTTGAATTTTTTTTTATAAAACTTGCTAATATATAAAGTTATAATTGGCTCTGTAAATTAAGGGGTGTTAATTTCACTTTTGTGAAAATTTCCATAACGGACGAATGCCATAACCTCGAACAAATATTGATCGCTGTCATATAACAATATTTTACGAACCAAATTCTCGCTGTTCTAGTCTACTAACGCCACAGTTATACATATGTAAATAAATGTATATATACGTATGTGTATATGTCACACCAAACGACGAGGGAACTACTTCGAAAGCGCATGATCGCATTATTTATTGCAACAAGCAATTAACACAATTCACAGGTTGGCGGAACAAAAATATAAACATAAAATTAAGTGTTAAGAAAAACAAACTTAAAATTCAAAATGTTTGTAGGCATTAAAGCTATGGAAATAAATAAATGCGAAAACCTGGGGAAGTCAACCACAATTTCATAAATATATTTGTTATTTTGAGTTTAGTAAAAAGCATTTTGTTGAGTATTTCTTTTTTTTTCAACTTATGCTATTTGCGAAGTTGTGCCAAAAGATTTCCTTTTATTTTATACTCTTGCGACATATTCACAGGGTAAAATAGTTTTATTCGCTTATGGGTTGTTCGAAACATCTAAAAGTAATCGAGATAGATATCAAAAGGATTATATTTCTCTCTCTCTTATGCCGACATGATGAATTTCAAGCGCTGTTTCTTTAACGTTTTCAATGTTACCATCATTAACAGTGGTTGATGGAGGACTCATGATGCATGAGGCAATTAAATATAGAAGAAACTTCTGGAATATATCTCGAATATGGAGACTTACAGCTATGTAATGAAAATATCGTTTAATTTGTATATCATAATAAAGATATATTTCCATGAGGATAGATGTCATGATGGGGACCGCTGCTATAAATGAATAAAATCGGTTTAGTACTTCTTTTAGCCACCTTATCCAAGTAGAAAAAGTGGTTTTTAACCTTAAGGTAGATTTTATACTGAATATAAAGGTCAATGTTTGAGTTATCTTAATAATGGTCTGTGAAGTTGGTCCAGATCTTCCCCTGGCTAAAACATTAAAATTTTCAACCTTATAACCGATTTTATGCAAAATACATCAGTATTTTAGTGTAAAGTTTTGTTAGCACATTGAAATAATTTATCTTATCATTTACCAGAGAAAATGTTCGGCTGTAAGCGAACTTGGCTCTCCTTACTTCTTGTTAATAAAAAAACATTAAAGTGAAAAGCGGAAAATATATAAATAAATAAATTAAATAAATTGAATTGAATGAATTGAGTAAAATTAAAAATTACAACTAATTCATTAGATTTGCTTGAAAGCCAAAGCAGGAAGTAAGCTCTAGTCTATTTACCTGCCATTTTGGTACATACATATTATATATGGTTTACCTGTACCCATGCCATATAATCAAACATAACTTTTCGAACTCAAAACATCGAATGAATCTATTTAATGACTATTCTACTTTGACATTGTTTAGATAATAAAAAAGACCTTCAAACTTATTTTTATAGCCAGCTAAATTAAGACGAATTGAAATTGATTGCAGTAAATGCCAGCAGTGCACAAACTCACTTACATACAAGTACCGTGCTGTGTATAGATATGTATAGATAGCTAAGTACACCGGTGTATTTTATTAGATAGGAGCAAACACTATAATTGTTGATATATTAAAGTTAAGTACAATTAAATCTTAGCGAAATATCAAACAACTATTTAGATGCTATCACTTGGCAAAATGGCTATAGATCACGTGTAAGGGAAGTTGTTTGAGTCGAAAAGAAGACAGTAAGTTGATTGTTTTCAAAGCTTGAAAGGAATTAATTTTGTTCGATGTATCTGAATTCAAACTAATTGCTATCAAAGTCTTCACCGACTTACGAGAAACATTGAATATGAAAAGCAAAAATAATTGAGCTAACACTGGGTACTTTTATAGATATAGAATTTTCAACAAGACAACATCGTACCTCAAATTACTTAAAACAGTGGAAAGATTAACTACTCCTCAGTTCTTAAGAAATTGCCCAAAAATATGTGTGACCCTCCAGGCTTCTATATATCCTGAAAAAGATACCGTTTTTATTTATTTATTTATTTAAACGCCAATCGGCAATATACATAGATATAATAAAGATCATTTTAGCAGGGCGGTAGAACAAGTCATACATCACCATTCTTTCTTGGGACGAACTATGGTTGACCGGATCATATCCAGAAGGGATAACATGGATGAACTGGTTGTAATGACTTCGTACAGAAGATAGAGCTAAGATGGCAACGAGAGAAGCCACCGTCTTCGGGTTACGTAGCGAACACCTCACCCTGCTTAACTCTCCGATATCTCTAAATTAGAGAAAGAGACGAGAAAGTTACGATGGATGTTCCAGACTGCAAGTACATACATCTGACTATGAAGCTCATTGACATGCCTACATATCACATTCTGGTTATGACTTATAAGAAGCATGTTCCGGGACAGAGGACAAAAAATATTTCAAAAGGAACATGATATTACCTATATAGGTTGGTAATGGTTGAATATATCTATCTGAAGCTTGAATCACCTTGCAGCGATTGAAAAATTAACAGATTATCTGTTACTTTCAAAGCACTTTATCACCGATTTGATTGCTAAGGGAAAGTTGAGACTTATTCTGCTTAGCGCTCGGTGTAAGCTCTGATTAAGAAAAATCTTTAACTTCAGTGCCCACTGTTCGTATTATTTTCCTCCAGCATGTCTACATTGCTCCCCCTTAGTTCATACCGCTTTTGCCTTGAATTGGATATTGGAGTGACTAGTTGCTTGTTTTTTCCGTGTTTTTGGGATTACAAATAATTTCCTTAAGTCAAAAGTCCATTAATCTTGGGACTGGAACACTCAAAGTTCCTCAAATGCCTATTAATACATATATTTTGTACTTTTCAATAGAAAGGTAAATTATTTATCATTTCATACTTAAGAAAGCAGCTCAAAATCTTTAAGTAAGAATGATTCTACCTTAAGTTACGAATATCTGATGGTATTTAATTCATGCGATTTAAAGTTTGGAGACAGTCTATCTCTAACTTTTAGCTTTTACAAAACAAGGAGCTTAACACTCAATTTATCATAACTCGAAAGTGCGGTTTTTGTAGATTTAGTGAACCTTAAATTAGGTCGTAAAAAATTATACACCGAATAAAACA